TTAAGGATGAACCCACCAAGCTTCACAGGTTCAAGCGTCACTGAGGATCTGGAGAACTTCATTGAGGAGCTTAAAAGGGTTTGATGTGCTGCATGTTGTTGATGCAGAGAGGGTGGAACTAGTTGCATACTAAATGAAGGGTGTTGCTAGAATCTGGTTCGACCAATGGAAAAGAAGGATGCGCCAGTAGTGAGTTGGGTTGTGTTTGAGAGTGCTATCATGGGGCACTTCTTTCCTCGTGAGTTGCGAGAGGCAAAGATAAAAGAGTTTCTCACCCTTATTTCGGAGTCTATGAGTGTTCATGAGTACAGTCTAAAGGTCACACAACTTTCCCGCTATGCTCCGGAGATAGTTGCTGACATAAGGAGCAGGATGAGTTTATATGTTGCTGGGTTGTCTCGTCAGTCAAGCAAGGAAGGCAAGGCAGTTATGTTGATAGGGGATATTAACCTAGCAATATTTATGATTCATGTACAAAAAGTTGAGGAGGCTAAGTTGAAGGATAGAGAAGAGTTTAGGAATAAGAAGGCTAAGACATCAGGGGACGAGTTCAGGCAGCAAAAGAGTGATGCCAACCGGTCGTCCCTCCCATAGAAACGGAAGGGACCTGCTCCACCATCTGCTAGTGCACCTGAACCTAAGAACAAAGGTGAGTACAATAGTAATTCCTATAGTTTCAGAACTAAGCCTGTCTATTCTCAGGGTAGTATGGCGTAAAGGGGAAGTAAGCCCCCTGCATGCGCTAAGTGTGGTAGGAACCACCCAGGTATTTGTCGTGAGGGCTCTACTGGTTATTTCAAGTGTGGTCAGAACGGTCACTTTATGAGGGACTATCCTGAGAACATACAACGTAATGGTAATAGGGGAAATATGGCTCAGCTTTCTTTAACTGCTCCACCAGACATGGATAAACCTAGCGGAGCTACTTCCGGTACTGGCGGAGGAGCAAACTGCCTTTATGCAATCAACAGTCGCCAAGAGCAAGAGGATTCGCCAGATGTTGTCACTGGTATGATCCAAGTCTTTGACTTTACTGTTTATGTTTTGCTAGACCCAAGAACGAGTTTATATTTTGTAACTCCTTATGTTGCTATGAATTTTGATGTTATTCCTCAGCAACTTAGTGAACCATTCAGTGTTTCTACACCTGTTGGTGAGTCTATTCTAGCAGAGAGAGTCTATCGTGATTGTCCCGTTTCCGTCAATCACAAGAGTACCATGGCTGATTTAATTGAGTTAGACATGGTAGATTTTTTATATCATTCTTGGTATGGACTGGCTTCATGCTTGTTATGTCTCAGTTGATTGTAGAACTTGAGTTGTTATGATTTAGTTTCCAAATGAGCCAGTCTTAGAGTGGAAAAGCAGTTCAACAGTGCCTAAGGGTCGTTTCATTTCGTACCTTAAGGCAAGGAAGTTAGTTTCTAAGGGGTGTGTCTATCACTTAGTTTGAGTTAATGACTCAAGTGTTGAGATACCTCCTATTCAGTCAGTTCCAGTAGTAAAAGAGTTTCCATAATTCTTTCCCGATGATCTTCCTGGAGTCCTTCATGAGAGAGAGATAGACTTCGATATAGATCTTCTTCCAGATACTCGTCCTATCTTTATTCCGCCATACAGAATGGCACCAGCAGAGTTGAAAGAGCTTAAAGAGCAGTT